GTGTGCGTGTGTGTGTGTGTGTGTGTGTGACAATTTCACAGCCATTATGAGCTAAATTACTATTCGGTTGACAGAGTTTTCTTGCAACACCGTCTTTCTCGTCTTCTGCACTATTTTTGAGGAGGCTGGCCGTGCACTTTTCAACTCTGTTGCTGTTAGATTAATTGACAAAATCATCGGGCTGTCAAAGTCTTGCAAAGAAAACTCCCCTTTGTATTCCCTTCACTGCCGCGGCATTGCCATTCAACTGCTATATCCTTGTGACAACAACAGGAATGACAAAAGAGGAGCAGGCTCTCCTGTGTGCACACCTGACAATGGTTTGGAGCTCATTGTGCTTGCCGCTTGTGGATTCCCAGAGTGAAAATGACTTTCGGCCACACAACGCAACACCATGTTGAATGCTTTGTTTGATTCCTCCTTTCTAAAACCATTTCTGAGAAGCTCAAGTATAATTGAGCAGCCTGCACTGAAGCAACAAACGGTGGTGTTACAGCACTGGAAGGTGTCACACAAATGTCAAGCTTCTTCACCACGGGCAAACTGCCAAAGGACTAGAGGTGGGACGAGAAAGGTGAAGTGGAGACAATGTTTTAATATGGAAAAGTGTGAATATGCATCACGGGTGATGCAGAATCCAGCAATATAACACCTATCAAATGCTTTTTCTAATCCCGAGAAACACGAGAAAAGCTGTTGCGCTATGACGTTCATCTCTTCTACTTATGTTTAATCTGATTTAAGGATTCTTTTTTCCAGACAATGCTTTTTTTGTTGTTTTTTTTTTGTTTTATTGTGAGAAGAAAAGTGTGTTTTGTGTGTGTGTGCATTGTCAATTTGGGCATTTTCCGCCATTTGCTTTTTTAACGGGACAATCTTTCTTAATCTCACGGACTGCTGTTGCGATGTCCGCGATGTCATGAAGAATTCAACAATCGAGGATTTGTGTCATGTAGCATTGCTCAAGTTCTCGTAGTTGACATCTAAATGCTAAAATCACTCATCTGTCTGGGCTTATATATGAGTCCCTCAATCGTCCTAGTTTTTAGTAGGTTCTCGCCAAGAATTTCTGACTATAGTTTGCCCATAGTTGCCACTGACTTTATGCACTGTGTGCTATATGTTGGCCCCACCCACCTCAGGGACGGGCAAATTAATAATTTGATAACTGTGTAGTTAATATTTAATAAATGTACAATTTTAAAATGAGTTTTATCATTGAATTACTTATAACTAATCCAGTTAAAATAATGTTATTATAAAAAGGAAAGAGTTAGGGAGGGGAGCGTGGAAGAAATTAACTCATCTATGACAAATGACACGGCCCTTCTTTCCATTTCAAAACTCAAATGTGGCACTTAAGTTCAAATGTTCGCCCACCCCTGCCCGGGACGACCTTTTCATGTATTCATGGCCTGGCCAGGCTCCATAAAAGAGGCTTGACCTCCTGCTTCGCGCCATCATTGAGAAGACAGGTGGCAGAAGAATCTCCAAGATGACTGGTATTCCTGTACTTTTTCATCCGTCTCAATACAGATGTGACTGTTTTGGTGCTTGAGCGTGCGCTCTTTGAAGATTCAAGCGTGGCGAAATATAAAGCAATTATTTTTCAAGCTCCTGGTCTAGTTCTATAATGTACGCGTATTGACACCATCTGCATTGTTTGCGTTTGTTTCCAGCTCGACAGGAAGCTCTCTGGGCCGTGTTGTTATGGCCTTGCCTTCTTAGCACCAGTTTCCTGCTCGAGTGTACGGACCAGGATCAGGTCATCCACCCCTACTGTTTATCCATTTCGCAGGATAAGCTTCTGGACAGGGTGATGCAGCATGTCGAGCTCATCTTCCGCGTCTCTGAAGAGTCATGCTCTTTGTTTGTAAGTAACCGTAACCCGAACACAGACGTTCAAGATTTGCAGCACGAGTGGGGGCTGCCTTGAAGCACAAGAGTTGAAATGTGTGACGGGGCTCACAAATGGATAACAACCCATGCGATTTCATGAAAGAGAGCTATTGGATGTGTAAAATAACATGGTTGCATATTATTATCTTCCAATGCTCAAAAGCTTGACAAAAAATGCTATCCGTCATCATTTACGTATCCACTCGTGTTCACGCTCAAAATTTTGTAACGTACTTTGACTGAACTAAAATCACTGTGCGCTGTTGTTGTCTTTTCACACCTAACGAGCTTCTTAGTGCCACGGCCCAGAGTAACCTCTTCTCTGAGCCGCAGTTTTATTGGAAATCAATGGCATCATATGACTTTCAAAAAGGTACACTGCATAAAGTGTGAACCGGATGCAGAGGCGAGAGTAGAACTCGTCACAAAGGAGATGTTCCACGCTGACGAGCGATTGCAGTCGCACCTGCTGCAACAGCCGCGAAGATGATGTCCAAGTTGGCTTCTTGTTTGTCATTTTTCATTTTCTTTTTAAATGAATAGAAAAAAAATACTGAACTAAAATCACTGTGTGCTGTTGTCTTTTCACACCTAACGATCTTCTTAGTGCCGCGCCCCAGAGTAACCTCTTCTCTGAGCCGCAGTTTTATTGACTGAACTAAAATCACTGTGCGCTGTTGTTGTCTTTTCACACCTAACGAGCTTCTTAGTGCCACGGCCCAGAGTAACCTCTTCTCTGAGCCGCAGTTTTATTGAAAATCAGTGGCGTCATACGAATGGGGTAGACGAAAGCTGCCACAGCAGTCTGCTTTTGTGACTTTCAAAAAGGTACACTGACTGCATAGAGTGTGAACTGGATGCAGAGGCGAGAGTAGAAATCGTCACAAAGGAGATGTTCCACGCTGACGAGCGATTGCAGTCGCACCTGCTGCAACAGCCGCGAAGATGATGTCCAAGTTGGCTTCTTGTTTGTCATTTTTCATTTTCTTTTTAAATGAATAGAAAAAAAATTCCTTGTTTATATGTGACTTCTCCACCCGCCACCTGTCTGTGTCATGTGCAGGAGGACATATTTGTCCCATTCCCGTTGCGGCTCCAGAGGAACCAGGAGGCCTACGCGTGCTTTACAAAGGCCATCCCCATTCCGAACTCCATTGGCGAAGTCCAGCAAATGTCTGTAAGCACAAACCTCTGCGAAAACGAATGCATTTCATGTACTCGTTCCAGACTGGACCTGTTGACTTGAAGCAAAATATCAAAAGCGGAACAAGCCGTAAACTGTCTCAGGGGTCATTCCAGAATGGGAGGACAATTTAATCATCAATCATTTTTGAAAAACAGAGTACTTATTGAATGTTTTGTTATGATTTCAAGAAAGAAGTACTAAACCATCATATCATTTGAACCGTCCAGCTCAACCAAGACAAGAGAAATAAGATAAGAAAAACTTTTAAAAGTAAATAAATAAATTAAATAATATAATAAATTAAATATTTAGAAATAAATAAAATAAGAGAACAACTTTTAAAAGTAAATAAATAAATTAAATAATAATTTTAAAAAATTATAATAAATTAAATATTTAGAAATAAATAAAATAAAATAAACAAGCCATTTTAGGAGGTACTCAAGCAAATAATTTTAAATAGTATTTTACAAACCATTATAACTGCAGCTGCATCCACATTTTGTCCCTGGACAACAACAATTTCCATAATGAGTGCATGTATCTGTGCATGGCTTCCGTATGGATTATTTGGCGTTTTATGGAGTGAGAAGTTTAGTCCAATGCAGGAATCATTCATAGCAAGTAATTTGTACATCTAGTTAATTATGAATGTCTTCCAGGACAAATGGTTGCTCCACTCCGTGCTAATGCTGGTCCAGTCGTGGATCGAGCCCTTGGTCTACCTCCAAACAACACTGGACCACTATGACGGTGCTCCGGAAATGCTCCTCAACAAGACCAAGTGGATGTCTGACAAACTTATCAGTCTGGAGCATGGAGTCGTCGTACTCATCAAAAAGGTAGGCGACGTCAATCGGAGAGTGAAATCGTGAGCAAGCACGTGACAAACTTATCAGTCTGGAGCATGGAGTCGTTGTACTCATCAAAAAGGTAGGTGACGTCAATCGGAGAGTGAAATCGTCAGCAAGCACGATTTGGCTCGTGATGATGGTTGACCTGCTGAATATTTCCATGTAACATTCCGGAGTGGTCACTGATGTCTACATTTACAGAGCAGTTCTATTACTTGCCATTTCAGGGAGATCATAATGAATTATTATTCATTATTATATTGCAGAAACAAATTGTTGAAGAAATTGACGTGTAACATTAATTGACATGTGAGTCATCCGTCATTATACTTGAAGCTACTTTTCATTGTCTTTTTGTGTAAACAATTCATTTACTTTGAATGTATTATTTTAATCATATTATATAGTTCTGATCACACTTGATTGGTATTCCTCATTAATGACACCATAAAATAACTGGCTTAGCAGAAGTCTCTTGTGATACACGGAAGTTTTGTGAGGTGCTCCTCTGCTCAATGGCCACCTTTTCCCATGAAGCAAAATAATACCGTCGTGTTCAACGAAACAGGCTCGCGGGATGTCATACAGAGCAAGTCATTTGGTTCAGTAATTTGAGACAAGATCATCATTATTTCATTCATACAGTTTGTGAAACTTTTTCTTCAGCGTTGTGCTGAGTTTTTTTCCAGTGTAAAATGTTTTTCCTTTTCTCACTGAAGGTTGGGAAATTCATTGAAGTCATTTGGTTCAGTAATTTGAGACAATTTGAGACAAGATCATCATTATTTCATTCGTACAGTTTGTGAAACTTTTTTTGCTGAGTTTTTTTCCAGTGTCAAATGTTTTTCCTTTTCTCACTGAAGGTTGGGAAATGCTGTTTAAATAACACACGAAAAAAAAAAAAAAAGAACCATCAATCCGTCATTTTGACCACCGCTGTTCAATGTTTTGACATCACTAGGAGTCAAACGTTCCCCTGTGACGTGACTCAATGTGTCTGTCCAGATGCTGAATGAGGGCCTTCTGACAACCAGTTTCAGTGACCAAGGCCTGTTCCGATACGACATGCAAACAGACATGGTGGAATCTGTCATGAGGGATTATATTTTACTCAGCTGCTTCAAGAAAGATTCCCATAAGATGGCGGTATTCCTCAAGCTTCTCAAGTGTAGACACACCGACAATGCCAATTGTGCGTGAAAACTAAATTCACACTTAAACTTGGTATGAATTCCTAGAAGATAGTGTTATGGCGCGGGCGGGGGCAGTACTTGAAATAAAAGCTTACAAAGACAAAAGAACTTGTGTCGTTTATCTTTGCAAAGAGTGGCAAGTAGTGTCGTGACACATTGGCAAGAGATTTCATGACCAGATGTTCATAAGTCACACAGCTGATGGTATGTGCGTCAATGCAATTTGCCTGACTTTAATGCTTGCAGCGTGGGTTCAGGTCCCACTCAGTGACAGCGTGAGTGAAAACTAATAACTTCAAATTCAAATTGGACAATTTAGATTTGAGTTTTCAATGGAATGATTCAAATTAAACAAGACACATTCATTTTGGTGTCAAAGTCATTTTTGTCGCAGGCCAATTTGGAGTCTTTGTTTGCACATGGTAGAAAAAGTAGTAATAGAAGAATTTATTTTATTTTATTTATTTTTTTAAATATGACCCTGCCCGAAATAATGTCAGAAAAAAAAAAAACAAACATCTGCTGAAGTAGGCTTTTATGTAATTTTTTAAATCCGATCTGAGTCCTTTTTACGGGTTAGCAGGATTTCGCAGCCCTCCTTGCTGGAAAAGGGACCTTGGCAATGTTGCTCATAAACGCGATTTTGTGACAGCACAAATGCGGATGTTATGAGTATGTGGTCGAGTTTGAAAGAATTGGAACGTTTCTTTTTCTTTTTTTTTTTTTTCAAACTCAGATATCCCGCCTTTATCTCATCAGCTTGTCGGCAATAAACGGAAAACCTCTTCGCCAGCCATTTCTGAACCAGCGGCTGTGGAACAAATGTGTTCCCTTTAGGCGAGGAAAAAGAAGGAAAATGCCAAAAGAGATCGGTCTTAAATCAATGCAATTTCCTGCTTTTCGTGTCTGTGGCCAGAGGGAGCTTCTTGGCGTTTTCACTTTTCTGTCTTTGATATACTGTGAGTGTCCGCAAGCAGAAGGAGGCAAATGGTGGAGTCTGCATTTGTCTTCCCACCAATGTGTGTCTGCTTATGTATTTCTTCGATCAAAAAAACAGGGCTAAAAACCTCATGCAACTTCCTTCACTTCAGGAAGCAGTTTCATTTTTTTCAAATTGAATAATTTCCTTTTCAGTAAGACGCCACAGATTACCAGTGTTTGTTTGGCTTTCATTCCATGGCTGTCTTTCCCTGAATGAAAAGGTTTGATGAGATCTTGTACATCTTGTGTCGATGGACCAAGAAAGCCTTTAAGTGCAAACGGATGCTGATCGGTGTGCTCAATTCACTTTGGGTCCAGATAAGCAATACTCACATTTTTTATTTCCTAATTTCCCTCTTCATCAACTGCATACTTTTAGAAAGAGCCCAGAGTGTGTCGCATCCCGGTACGATGATTTACTCATTGAGCCTGTTGGTGCATGGGACAAAGGGCATTACTGTAGCATTAGCTGGGATGCTAAAATATTCTAACATTGTTAGCATTTTTTTTCTATGTAGCCGATGGCTCAAAGTCAACTTTTTTGATGCGCATTTTTTTGATGCGTATTTATCAGAGGATTCACTTCATTATTATGCATGATGGCGATTTGAACAAAGTTCTCTCCAATTTTTTAGACTGATTTTTTTTTTTTTTTCCCCAAAGATAGTCGGACTCCGGCAGCATTTACCTTTATACTGTCGCATCAACTGTTCAAACGTTCGTCATGTAGTGAATGCTACCGACTTATTTTGTTTACGCTTCCTTTGGTTTTCTGAATGAGTGAAAATGTCTCGAATCCTCTGTGGTGAACGAGCGCTCGGCTCCTTTGTTTTTTTCCTTTGGCCCGTTCAAGACCAAAGCCACGTGTGCGAATTGGTGACTTTTTAAAGGTGACCGTCTAATTAAAGGTACAGAAAAAGTTTGGGTTTGGCAGAGAAATGATCCACAGGTTCCATCTGGTTGAATGTGATAAGGCTGATTTATTTGACTCTTTCCGATTGGCCACAGATGCCTTTGTGTTGTTTGTTTGGCTTTTGCTTGACATTGAAACATAACTTGACATTAAATTGATTTGGAGGCGCGAACAAGATTGAAAGTTCACCGTTTGGAGGGAGCACAAAGCTTCACATTGATTCATTGTTTATTGCACAAGAGGGAACGCTGTTTAAGGCTGTGCGAGGGACGCGTTCGACTTTTTCTCCAAGGACGAAAAGAAATCTAATGAATGAAGCAGAGCGTGTCCATTAAATGCCGACAGACATGTGAGCTTGGAATTGATGCTGCTATTGTGTGTCTGTGTGACTGTGTGTTATATTTAAAATACACTTTTGCCATTTCATAGGAATCCAAACTTTAAATCACTTATCATAGAGTGTTTTAGCTTTACGTATTCCATAAGAGTGGTTCTCTCATTTTTTAGAAATCAATTCATTAAACGACCCGGCCATCGTTACATCTTCTGCCCGTGGAGGTCTGCTTGCATGTTGAGTTTTGACTCAAGGTTCATATCGGTTGCAATGACTTTACACACACGCTATCAAAAGACCATTCAAAAAGTCTCAAGTGTCCCACCCGCTTATCTCGACGACGGGAGATCACTTAAATCGTGTCTGATCACAGAGCTACACTCACATGGAGCACATCCTTGGGAAATATATTAGCATCCCATCAAAGTGAAACCGAGAAAACAACAATATCATTCTTTCGAATTGACTCTGGCAGAAGAAGAAAAGCAAAAGCACATGAATACAAGCCAGTGAATCCAGCACACTTGGAAACAATTAGACAACATATTCTTTCTCACGTTTGACTTTGATTCTTTTCATTCATCTATTTTATATACGTCGTTTGACTTTGAAGAACTGTTTTATTTACAGAGCTATCGACACGAGGTATTCATCTCATCGTTAAAGCGCCCTATCCTAAAACAATACATTGGGTTTTAGTCACTTGACAACGCTGTATTCATGTAATATCATCATTCAAACCTCAATGTAACCCTCTTTAATCAGAATACCACATCTCTCTTTCAACCCATCAGCATCTCGGCAGAGAGAGAGAGAGAGAGAGAGAGAGAGAGAAAGAGAGAGAGAGAGAGAGAGAGAGAGAGAGAATTCTTAATCCCATGAAAGAATATGAATATATTCTTGCATCTAAATAGTGAAGGCAAGGTAATATTGCCCAGCTTTGATTGACACCTGTCATAGTGACAGCTGTATTTTGTTAAGTAGGACAGTGTGTGTGCTGAAATGGCCGTGTCAATCAAAACTGAGCATCTTTGTAAAGGCAGATGCGCCACTCGATGTTCAAGTTGCTTTGTGTTGACGCAGGCATTGTAACTACCAGATGTGAGCACTAGATGGCAGCGAAAAGCCTCTAATGTCGTCTCTCATGCCCTTTTCCAAATACTGTGCTGTGAAAATGTTGAAATGAAATGGAGAATGTGGTGCATAAAATTGGGGAAGTTGGGTTGGAAGTTGCTCTCCGTTCTTCAACGCGGCGCGGCTCTGCTTGGTGTCATGCGCAGATGCTCGAATGCACACTGGGGTCCGCAGCCAGCCCTGTGCAATTGCTTCAACAGATGCTATTTTTTATTCCGTCCCTTTCGTCTGCATTTCGGCCCAGATACGTATGTCGTGTTTCACCGGACAAAGGCAAAGGCGATGGCCAGATGACAACTTGATCTATGATAGGAAAAAAACTATAAACAAGAAATTTGCTAACCCTTCAAGGAAGCCTTAAGGGAGAGGAAAGGGAGTATGGAATTATAGCTAATGTAGCGTAAGATTTGTGAGGATAATACGGTAATAACAAATGTGATAAAAGCCTAGGAATAGTTAATACGTCTTATAACTCAGAGCTTTACCGGGAAATAAAAATGAGCATTTTGCAATCCGAGGGAAGGTTCACGTTAAGTCGAATAGATGTGAAACAGATGGTGCGCTGGTGTTCAGACGATTGAATAAATATGATCAGCTCACATCTGTTACAAACACTTGCAGGGGCCTGTAAATTTACCTTTATAAGGCCGTTCAAACTGGTTTTACGTATGGTGACATCTTCTGTCGTTGAAATAATGGGTCATTGCTTTGACCTCGTCATATTTCGGCCACTACGGAAGGTCTTTCATTGGCAATTTAGCCCATCAATGACACGGATGTGATATATTTCTCGATACACTGCCAACGGGTATGATTCAGGATTTTATATGCGCAAGAAACAAATTAATTGTATTTTTAGCCATGAATTATGTATCATACCATAGACAAGGGGTGCCGGTTATTGACTTGGACTCAAGCACTGATCGCAAATTGAAAATATGGTTTTATAAGGCCCCAGTCTGTCTTGGGTCCTGTGAATCCGCATCACTATTGTTTTCCAATTCCTGGCGTTTTCCCCAGTCCCATTTGTGGTTGCGTATTAATTGTTTCCTTGAACTCTTTCTCGCTTCCTTGAGCTCTTTTAGCGGTCCTGCGGCATTTGTTTCTATTTATGATCTTTATCTATCATTGACATTTGTGAGTTGTTTCGATTTATGACCTTTATCGATAGTTGACATTTGTGAGTCGTCTTTCCTTCTTGCAGTTGTTAATTTCTTTTGATTCAATTTCTCAACTTTTTTTTCTATAATTGATGTTATTTGACAGAACTTTAATTATCTGATTTGTGACATGCATTTTTGCATATGTATTTTTTATATTTACTAATCAACTGTTTGTTGATTTTCTGAACAACTCCTTCCTTCCTTCCTTCTCGACTGTTTGAATTTTTCCTCATTTCTTCCTATCTTACACACTTGATCAAAGCTCAGGTGATATTTCGATAGGTCGCGACGACCTATCTCTATTTTTTACTTTTTTCTGGTCACATTTGCTTCCTTCCCTCCTTCCTTTCATCCTTCCTATTTGTCATGCCTCTCCCTCAGTGGGACCTCGTGCAAACACTAAGCAAACACCGCATACTTGTTTAGGGCAGGGCAAGCTGCCACTCCCAGGGTCTAATCGTCACAGAGTTCTTTTCCATTTGTATTGCTGATAAACACGGTTGGCTGATGGGGGCAGCGATTGCGTGGAACATAGCGGGCAGTATCTGGCATCGGCCTAATTGTCCCAAACAATCTGCCT